TTGGTCTTTTTGAGACAGGGTTTCCCTGTAGCCCCAGCTGTCCTGGAACTCACTATGTAGACCAGGCTGGCCTTGAACTCACGGATATCCGCCTGTCTCTGCCTGCTGGGAATAAAGGCATGCACCACCACGCCCAGCTGTGGTAAGTGCTTTTAACTGCTGAGCCGTCTCTCCAGTCCCAAGATTCTTTTTTTTTTAAATATTAACTAAAAAGACACGACTAACTCTAGATACCCTAAAAATACTTGGAGTAGGGGTGAGGGGCTTGATAGTTCTCTGGTAAAAGTTTTATGGGTTCTGTGCCAGGTGTGGTGGTACACACCTTTAATCCTAGCACTCAGGAGGCAGAGGCAGGTGGATCTCTGTGAATTTAAGGCCAGCCTGGTCTATATACTGAGTTCCAGGCCAGCTGGGGCTACAGGGAGACCCTTTCCCAAAAACAGTGTTTTATGGGTTCTATATAAAGAGAATGCTATTGATAAATTCCACTAAAAGACTTAAAAGAACATTTGCATAAGTGGAAATTATGTAAATTTTTCCACCAAATTCCTAAAGCAAAAAAAATGCCAGTTTTTTGCTATTAAAGTAAGTAAAGAAATCAATCCCCCCTACTGTGGGTGGTTTCAAGATAGGGTGATGTCAAAGAACCTTCCTGTTCAGGTCACCCGGAAATGCCTTGAAGCTGGTTCTAATGCAGGAGTTGCCCAGTCAATGGATAAGGACAGAATTTGGAAACAGGTCCTTGTGCCCACATACTCCTGTCCTTGAAGAGAAGCAGGACTGTCCCACATTGCTGTGGGTGTGGCTGAGTGGCAGAGCACTTGGCTTAGCATGCATGCGTGAGGCCTGGGTTTCATCCCCAGTACTTGAAGAAAATAGATCCATAAATAGTAATGGGATAAACAATAATGAATGTTTCTGAAGGAAAAAATGTGAACCCTCATTCCTGCTTCTTTCCTTAGAGCAAAAGAGATCTCAAGTGCATCAGGGACTTCAGCTTCAGAGCTGACCTGAGCAGTTAGCAAAGCTTGGTCTCCATGAAGAGAAAGATGGACTAAGTGTCTGCAGGCCTGTTACAGTATCAGCAAGGCGACAAGTACTAGCGATCACAGCAACCCGTAATATACGCATAGACAAGTGTCTATATGGGCTTTTTTTTTTTTTGTCTTCTTTGAGACAGAGTCTCCTTGTAGCCCCAGCTGTCCTGGAACTCACTATGTAGACTGCCTGCCTCTGCCTCCCAAGTGCTGGGATTAAAGGCATGCCCCACCACACCCGGCTTAGCTTTTTTTTTTTAAATGCTTCTTGAAAAAAAATTTTTTTTATTGTGCGTGTGTCATAATGCGCATGTGGAGGTCAGAGGACAACTGTAGGAGTCCGTTCTTCCACCACTTAAGTCGGAGGGATTGAACTCAGATCATCAGACTTGGCAGGAGCCTTTCTGATGAGCCATCTTGCCATCCCACAGATTGCTTTCATAAAGGATGTGTGACATGAGAAAAATTGGTAAAGGCATATGAGGTTTTCAAGAAAAAGGATTTAGTGTCCATGTGCTCACTCAATTTCATAAAAAGAAAATAGTTGGCAGACTTTTAACACTCAGCAGTGACAGCTGCCAGGCACTGATGGGCATCCTCTTGATGACCCAAGGTGGAAATGTCAGAACATTCATCCACCTCCTGAGCCACCTTCTAGGAATTCTCCGTACAGGGGCATCACCAAGGCCACTGAGATTTGGATACAAGTTTGTTGCTATTTTTCTTAGAACTTATATGCCGATACATGACCACTTGATTTGTAAACAGACATATTGGGATCCGCCTTCTTCCATTACACAGAAGCTGCTGGGGGTTGGGGATTGTAACTGACATGGAGTGAGAAGTGGCTGGGGATGCTGCCCAGTATCCTGCAGGGCACAGGACCTCCCCTACAACAAAGACCCAACAAGTTCCAAATGTCACTAGTACCAGAGTTGGAAGACCCTGGGTTAACGAAACAGGCACATTAAAATTTTACAGTATGGTATGTCATTAAAAAGAAAGTACTGATCCAGAAGACTTGAAGATTTACCAGGAGAAAAGGCAGGGTATATGTAGAGAGGTAACATGAAGACGACAGGGCCAGTGAGATGGCTTAGGAGGTAAACAACCAAGCCTGATGACTTGTGAGTTCGATCCCCAGGACCCACATGGTGGAAGGATAGAACTAACTCCTGTAATTGGTGCCCTTAACTTTCACATGTGTGCCATAATGTGTGTGGCTGTTCTCCCCAAATGTAATAGAAATTTTTTTAAGTGAGAAAGATTTATTTTTCCCTCAAAGAATACATACACATATGAACAAGGCAGGATCTTGAGTTTGAGGGTAGCCTGAGTTACATAGCAAGACTCTGTCTCAAACCAGACAGACAGGCCATGGTATCAGGACCACCTTCATTAGGAAATTAGGCATTAGGAAATTAGCTGTCAGGCACTTTGAAATTTTCTTTTACTTTTTTGAGGTGCTGGAGGTGGAACTCACTGCCTCATATATGCTAGGCAAGCACTTTACCACTAAGCTATATCACTGACCCAGTTGTCAAGTGCTTTGAATTCTGAGATAAGAAATTAGAGAGTTGTTACTTAACATGGCCAATAAAATACTATGCCTGGAAAAAAAGGTACAAGGGGAAATTTTCTTTTTTTCCCAGAAAAATGTTACAGAATTCCTGGCACCCTTGAAACCAGTAGCCATTCGAATAGTGCGAAATGCTCATGGGAACAAAACAGGTGAGACCTCGGGGTGGGGGTGGGGGTCCTGGCGGGCCAGAGGGGCGGCCATGCAGGTGGAGAGCTGGGGCTGTGGACTCCGGGAGAAGCCTTCAGAGCAGCCATTTCTTGTTGCTGTCTGTTGTCCTCAGTTTGGCAGATAAACATAATCTGTCAAAGCCAGGGCCTCCTAACCTTGTACCTGGTGGCCTGGTCTGCGGTGACTGTTTCCACCTTTTCTCCCCTTCCATTCCTCTCCTGGCTTCTGCTTACGCTGCAGGCTCATGATCAGTCAGGGTAGTTGCTGACAGGTCCTAGGTCTACTGCACGGTCCATGGGCAACTCTGCTAGCTGAGTGCAGCTGTACATTGTTGTATGTGAGGTTGCCTCAGGGCACTGGGTATGGCTGCACCAAGGCGGAGAGCCTGGCTATAAAGGAGAATTGGAACCGGGAGAGGCAGGAGCCGACTGGCCTTACTGCTATCCAGGACTGGAGGCTGTAGGAGACGCAGCAGCAGCAGCTTAGTTACATCTCACAGAGCCATAGGGAGTCTAGATCTGCAGGCTGTGAGGGCTCCTTGGCAGGCAGAGCTCCCAGGGAAGTGCCCACACGTTAGGGAGAGTCCAGTCATCATCTGTGTCTTATATCTTCCCTAATTTCCGTCTTGATTTTAACACACTGTGCACCAGGCCATGCTCTTCATCCATCCTTCCTCCCCTCACATGCTCCATGTGGATTGTGGGGAAGAGGGCTCCATCCCACTTTAGCCGCTTAGGAGCCCTGTGTCCTTGGGCACTGGATCAATGACTGTGTGCAGCAGGGCAGACCTGTGTCACCCGGGACTAGAGCCAGGGAGGTAGCAATAGAGCTAGCTGCCTTACCCACTCCATGAGAACTGTTGTTAGTCAACTGCCACTGATGGTGGTGATATCCCTGGTTTATGGCACTTTGGAGACCAGATAGGGAACAGGAAAGAGGGTGTCGAAGTTGTCACTGTAGAGAGGACCAGCTTGGGGCCTGGAGCTACACACCCACCTCAAACACATGCTTTTGAGGGCACAAGCATGGTTGTGGAAAAGTTGGGAGGTGGGGCCGGGCCTGTGGGGACTTTATCCAGTGTGCTTTCCAGCTGAGGCACAAGACATCAGGGTTGGGGCTGAAGAAGCTGTATCAAATTAAACATGGTCCACCAGCTCGTCTAGCAAGACCTGGGCCAGCATCTCTGGGAGACCGATGGGGAGGAGCCAGGAAAGGGTGTTCATGGGTGGGTGAAGTGCCTACATGTGGAACAGATGAGAGGGCCACACGGAGAAAACAGCCTCCCATCAGGTGTGGAAAACCCATGGGTTTGGGCCAGCCTGTGGCATTGCCACCAGATAGCCCTGGGCATGTCACCTAACTGCTCCAGTAAAGTAAGATGTAACCCTGCTCTGCCTCCTGTGGGGTCAGGCTCTCCCCTCAGGAAGGACTCCCTGGCCTGTTTCTGAGCTCCGGGGACAATGGTTATGTAGGTGGCCGTGGCCATGAGACCTTGGTTATAGCATAGCCACCACTGGCAATTTGCCAGAGAATGTCCAGGAACAGAGTGGGGCTGGGAGGGCAGACAGGCCTCTGCTGCGGAGTTCTAGAACCTTTATCTTCACCTACAAAGCGAGAGGGAAGAAAGACAGGGTGAGGGGAGCAGCCCATGTGTTGTCTGAACATTGACAGATGGGTCCCCCCACCTCTGCCTGTGACACCCCATTTCCTTCAAGACCCCCATTACCGTCATCTCTGTCCTCTCTCAGGGTATGTCTTCGTGGATTTCAGCAGTGAGGAGGAAGTGAAGAAAGCGCTGAAATGCAACCGGGAATACATGGGTAAGGGTGTGAGTCAGACGCCATCCTAGGGCCACTCATTTATCCCAGCGTCGACATCACAGTGGTGCTGACCACCTCCTCTCTGCCAGACACTTGAGGGCCCTGGGGATCCAGCAATGAGCAGATGGTCCATCCCACCCCCCACCCCCGCAGGAAAGCCACAGGGTAGACTCACAGGAAGCCATAGACGAAGTGGGCAGATTTGCCATTTATCTGAGTGACATGTAGGACAGCCTGTAGAGAAATGGGTCCAGGCGCTCTACTGTCTTCTCAGGCCTCACTAAGAGATTGGGGAGCAGCACTGTAGAGTTGACCTGAGTTCTGGCTCCTGTGGACAATGTATTGGGTAGTGGATCAGCACTGGCCGAGTTGGGAGGACTTGAGGGTCCAGGGCCATCCCTGGTGTGCACAGTGGCTAAGATGCTGCATGGACCACTGATGAAGAAGAGTCACACTAGAGGACCATGGGAATCCTGTTAGCAAGTCAGGTGGTGGGTAATTGAATACTGAGGAGCCAGTGAGGAGGATGAGTGCTAGTCGAAGTGGAACTGGGCTCCCACATGTGGCAGTTCACCAGCTTTTTGTCCCGTATTGAAACCTTTCCAAGGCCAAATAGCCAGAACTGAGGGAGGTGATGGGCCCCAGAATGCAGAGGCTATGTCCCTATGGTCTGGGATGGCCCTACAGGCTCACCAGGGTTGAGGTCACACTGACTAGCTGAGCAAGGTCTCGTTGGCTCAGATTGCAGCCTCAGGAAATGGGCCTGCTATCAACACTGCCATCAACGCACCAGGACAGCAGAGCTCAAAAGGGCCAGCTCCAGGGACCAACAGCCCTGATCCTTGTCCTTGTACAGGCGGACGCTACATCGAGGTCTTCAGGGAGAAGCAGGACCCCATGGCTCAGGGCCCCCCAAAGAGCAGCACTAAGCCCTGGCAGGGCCGTACACTTGGGGAGCATGAGGAAGAGGAGGACCTGGCTGACTCCGGGAGGCTCTTTGTACGCAACCTGTCATACACGAGCTCCGAGGAGGACCTGGAAAAGCTCTTCTCTGCCTATGGTAGGTGTCGGGTAGCTTATCCTAACTGCCAAGGATTCCCCTTACCATATTCTCCAGTACCAAGCAGCCTGTGCCAGTCCAGAGCAGCCATTTGATGATCTCGCAGTCCAGCCTATCACCTGGCTAGGGCCTAGCACCTGTCACCCAGTGCTCCAGCCCAGCCCGACTTACACCAGACTGATGCTTCTCCTGTTTTCAGGTCCCCTGTCAGAACTCCACTACCCCATTGACAGCCTGACCAAGAAGCCCAAGGGCTATGCCTTCATCACCTTTATGTTCCCTGAGCATGCAGTGAAGGCCTATGCAGAGGTGGACGGGCAGGTGTTCCAGGTAAGTGGCTCAGAGCTAGTGAGGCTGCTGCTGGGCTCAAGTGAGCAAGAATAGTCGCATCAGTGTGTGTGTGTGTGTGTGCGTACGTACGTGCATGCGTGCATGCATGTGCTTGTGCACGTGTGTCTATATTTCAGTCCTGAGAACCTACGGTCAGTGGCCTACCACAATATCACTTCAGAGGGAAAAGACAAGGCAAGACTGAAGTCATGGGTCTGGTCATGCCCTTCACTCTCTGTCGCACTTAGAGTGAGCCTGGCACACAGTAGGGCCTCACAGAATGTTTGTTGAATGAAGGCTCATGCTCATCACCTGCAGAAACAGTTCTTTGGCAGAGGAAGCAACAGGAAGCCTGGTAACCATGGCGTGTCCAAGCACCGCAGCTCACTTTCCTTGTGGCACCAGATACTGAGCACAGCACACCTCCCCAAGCCCTGGGCTACCTGTCTTGCCTGTTTTTCAACTTGATTTATTTGTTCATGGTTTATGGGTGTCCTTGTCACCAGGCAAGACCTGCTGTCACCTGTGTGGAGCTCTTTCTCACTGTGTAGGGACAGGGACGGGACAGGGTGTAGGTTTACAGGGCTATGGGTGCTGTCTTTAAGTGTGGTTTGTAAAGGAGGCAAAGTTTCCAGGCCTGGGAAGATGGCCAAGTGGTTAAGAGCAGGCCCTGCTCTTGCAGAGGACCCAAGTTCAGTCCCCAGCACTCATGTCAGGTAGCTGACAACCACCTGTACCTCCCGCTCCAGGGAATCTGACACCCTCTACTGGCCTCTGTGGGTATTGCACATACATAGTGTACATACATACACTCAGGTACACACACATATGCATAAATGAAAATAAAAATAACAAATCTTTAAAAAGTGAACCAAGGCCTTGGTGCAATGGTGTCAGCTGGCCCCACCACAGTGACAGGTCCCTATGTCACGTGAACCAAGAATAACTACATTCCATCTGCTGTCTGCATCCCTCTCAGGTGTATATACAGTGTACTTGTGACCACGGCTGGTGTCTTTGAGGGTAGAGCCTATATTTACATCCTCCTTCTACCCCCCCACCCCCAGGGTAGGATGCTTCATGTACTACCATCCACCATCAAAAAGGAAGCCAGTCAGGAGGCCGACACCCCAGGGTCCTCTTACAAGAAGAAGAAAGAAGCTAAGGACAAAGCCAACAGCTCCAGGTCCTAGTCAACCACTGGTCCTGAGCCCCAGTCCCAGGGTCTGCTGCCCTAAGCCCCACTTTTCACTCTTCCCAATGATCATAGGGGTTTGGAGGGAGGGCCTCAGGTAGGCATCTGAAAAAAAATGGCCTATTTAGCGCACTTTGTAATCCCCCTGTTCTGCCACTGCTCCTCAGCTCTCACAACTGGAACACACTGTTCATGGGGCCAAATGCTGTGGCTGATGCCATTGCACAGAAATACAGTGCCACCAAGAGCCAAGTGTTTGATCACGTAAGTGAAGAATCTCTATGTGTGTGTGTGTGCGTGCGTGCGTGCGTGCGTGTCCATTTCCGTGTTTTGGGTATGTTTCACGTTCACACACCTTTCCCAGTGCACATCTGTGGGATTGGACAGCTGCTGCATCATCTTAGGCCAAACCTGGGTGTGTGTTTGTCAGCTAGTTTATACTCGTTGATTCTACCATAGCTTCTCCCCCTCCCTTGCCCTTGACCCTTCTCCCCAGAGACATGGTCATCACTGTCCCTTAAAAATAGAATGCATAGGCCAAGCGTGAGCACTTGGGAGGGCAAGGACAGGTGGATCTCTGTGAGTTCAAGGACAGCCTGGTCTACCTAGTAAGACCCTGTCTCAAACAAAAAACAAAGAAAAAGGGCCTGGAGAGATGACTCAGCAGTTAAGAGCACTGGTTGCTCTTGCAGAGGACGTGGGTCCAAATCCCAGCATGTACATGGTGGCTAACAACTCCAGTTCCAGGGGATCCGATGCCCTCTTCTGACCTCCAAGGGCATTGCTTGACACGAGTACACTTACACACATGTAGGCAACACACTCATACACATAAAATAAAAATAAAAATTTTTTAAATCAATAACCACATGATTAGAAGAAGCATTTCATTACAGCATTAACATATTCCATAACAATTTCCAGAACAAAGATGCATCTCTTTCAAAAGTGGCTATAAATTTTTAGGTTCACAGTGGAACTAATACAGTTATACAATATTGAACTCACTATAAACCCTGTAAGACATAAAAGTGAATGAGGTTTTAACCTTTAAAAAAGATCTCCATTTCATATTTAAAATACACTTGTTTCATACAGAACTCATTTTTAATGCTACCAACATTTAGATGTTTGTACATGCATCTCTAATCTCTGTGTATCTGATTATTACTAGTCACAGTCGGTTATTTTCTGAGCTCCTTGGCACCTGAGCATGGATATAAAGTCACCAGGTAGATTTCAATGGTAATGCTTTTCACATCTACTAATTAACATGAAGCAATTTTTTGTGCTTGATGTTTGTACATGCATCTCTAATCTCTGTGTATCTGATTATTACTAGTCACAGTTGGTTACTTTCTGAGATCTTAGCACCTGAGTATGGATATAAAGTCATCAGGTAGATTTCAATGGTAGTGTTTTTTCACCTCTACTAATTAACATGAAGCAAATTTTTGTGCTTCTTCCTCAAATATAATTCAGTTTTTTTTATTTGTTGATTTTTTTGTGTGTGTATTTCATAAAGATGCCAAACAATCTTGTTCATCTATATACCCACATCCGAAATGTCACCCTCCCATAGCCCCACCCCACCCCACCCCCGCCCGGAGCCCATATACTCTAATCCCTGTTACTGTTCACTGTGTTGTTGGCACCCCCAGCCATTCCCCAGTGCTTGTCCATCTGCTGAATCTAGTCAGCCTATCTAGAGATCCTTGTTTTAGGAAGATCAGCTGTTCCTCATCTAGCAGCAATCGGTTGCCAATATTCCTTTAGATAAGATTGAGGCCTTCTGTTAATTTTCCCAGTTCTATGCTGGGTTACTGTCTGGGAGTCTCTTGGGCTACTCACCCTGGCTAGCAACTCAAAGGAAGGTTTCTCCTGTCTGGCATTGTTTCTTGTTATGTAGCCTTCAGCTATACACATGGACTCTTAAAGAATTGTATTGATCCCTTTAATCTTTGGTTATACTTTCCATTTGGGTATTTAAGACCATACAGTTGACCCAGATAAACCAAAGTCGTTTGAGGACCTGTTCCTCAGGGGTCGCATGGGCTTGGGAGGATCCCCTGGCTCCTTTCTTTTACCAGTTCCATCTATGTGAAGATAAGTCAAAGGTCCTGCTCGACTGTGGCTGGCTTCACTTTGGAAGCATGGAGTAAATGTTTCCTCTGTGTTGACCCTCCTCTTTGTAGACTGGACACTGGTTCAAGTCCATCTTATGAGGTCTCCATGGCCTCCCTGAACAAGAGGACATTTTGAGAGATATTCATAGTCCCCTGGAACTTAGCCAACCTAGGAGGGCAAGGAGCAGAAACTGTCCTGTATGTCCCTCTGACCAAATTAGTATAGGACTCAAAGTATGGCTGTTAAACATCCAAGAAGGTTAGTTCCACCAGTCTGCTACTTTAATTACCATGTGCCATGTAGCTAAAGCTTGGGCCAAGACCAAACGTTCTCAGATAAACCTTGCCTAGACATATATTCTTTGAGCTAGTTTTGTCAGTAGGTTGTTTAGTTAATATGGTTCCCTCTGGTTTTTTTTTTTTAAACTAGCTAGGCATTATTTTCTCTCTGCATGGTCTTAACCCTTCCACCATGGTTTCTCCATTTAAAGTGCCCCCATTTTTCCCATTTCTCCCTTAATACACTTTTATGGTTCCACCTCTCTTGAGCTCCTTCTTTCCCTTTATCCCCTAGGTTCCTTGTATAACCTTCCCTCCCCGCTTCCCTTAAAATAACCCCATTTTTATCCATATCTCCCTTGTTAACACCTATTTTCTACTGTTCTTCTCTTTCAGATTCTTTCTTTTCCTTTACTTCCCTGGTTCCTTTTCATTATCCTGGTTCCTGTAGTTATGTCTGGATACATACTCACTTATAAGGATTTGGTACTAGGATCCACATATGAGGGAGAACATACATTGTTTTGTTTTGTTTTTGTTTTTGTTTTCTCTCTGAGTCTGTGTTACTTTACTTAGTATAACAGTTTCTAGTCCCTTCCATTTACCTGCGAATTTTATTATTTCATTTTTCTTTACTGCTGAGTAAAACTCCATCACATAAATAAACCACAATTTCATTATCCACTCGTCAGTTGAGGGGCACTTAGGTTGCTTCCATCTCTTAGCTATTGTGAAAAGAGCAGCAACAAACATGGATGTACAAGTGTCTCTGCAATAGGATGAGTTCTTTGGGTATCTGCCAAGGAGTGGTATAACTGTGTCAAATGATAGGTTCATTTGTAGTTTCCACACTGCTTTCCATAGGGGGTTAAACAAGTTTGCAATCCCACCAGCAGTGGATGAGCATTCCCCTTTCCCCACATCCTCTCCAACATTTGGTATCATTTGTTCTCTTGATCTTAGCCAGTCTGACTAGGGTAAGATGAAATCTTAAAGTGGCTTTAATTTACATTTCCCTAATTAGTGATGTTGAACACCTTTTAAGATGCTTCTTAGCCATCTTTATTTCTTCTTTTGAGAACTCTCTGTTCAGCTCCTTAGCCCATCTTTTAATTAGGTTGCTTCCTTTCTTGATTCTTTGTTTTTTGAGTTCATTATATATTCTGGACGTTAAACCTCTATCAGGTGTGTTGCTGGTAAAGATTTTCTCCCATTCTGTGGATTTTCTCTTCACTTCCTTGGTTGCTTCTTTTGATGTACAGAAGCTTTTTAGTTTAATGAGGTCCTATTTGTTGATTCTTGACCTTGTTTCCGGAGCAATTCATGTCTGGTT